AATCTGTTGTTTTTGTATGGGTTACTAAGTGTCTTCAGCACAAGCTCAGAGTCACATGTGCTCATCTACCTATGTCAGTATGAAGTAAGAAAGGCTTTTAAACATACATTGCACACCTTTAACAATATGTACATTCTTGTCTGAGTCATTTGGAAGCTAACAATCATGAAGTGTTGATTAGTGAGATGGTCAGTTAAAAACACTGTCTGAATATTTCTTTACCTTCGAGCTGGCCAGAAGAATAGCAAAACACGGTAGCGTAGTGAGAAGCACATAGGTGAGTGTCACAGGTCTCCTGAGAGAGCACAGAGTTTAATGTTAATATATCAAATAAAGGCTTATTTCATAATCTGTGATACAGTGTAAACTCATCAGGAACACTGATGTGCCAATAATAGGGCAATTTCAATTAAGTGGTTTATATACACACACACACACATATATACCTACACATTACACCTACAGGAGACAACTCATTTTAAATCCACAGGCATTTTTATGGAGTTGCTCCCCCCTTTGCCACTATAACAGCTTCCTCTCTTCTGGAAAGGTTTCTACAAGATTTTGAAAAGTGTCTGTGGGAATTTTTGCCCATTCATCCAGAAGAGCATTTGAGGTCAGACACTGATGTTGGACAAGAGGGTCTGGCTCACAATCTCTGATGTAATTCATCCCAAAGGTGTTTGATGGGGTTGAGGTCAGAGCTCTTCCACACCAGACTCAACCAGCCATCCCTTTATGGACCTTGCTTTGGGCACAGGCATGCTGGAACAGAAAAGGGCCTTCGTGGCTCAGTTGTTGTGGTTCCTAAACGCTTTCACTTCTCAATAATACCACTTGTTGCAACGATGGCATCCTATTACAGTACCACACTTGAATTCATTGAGCTCTTTAGAACGACCCATTCTCTCACAAATGTGTGTAAAGGCAGACTGCATGGCTAGGTCCTTGATTTTATTCAACTGTGGCAATTGGACTGAATAAAACACCTGAATTCAGTGATTAAGAAGGTGTGTCCTAATACACACACACTCACACACATACATATACATATATATATATATCACTGCTGTCATAAGAAAACCTCTCCATTTTTGTCATTTTTCAGTTTTTGACATAATTTGTAGATGCCTATTGCCCTTTATATTGTGTGGAAATTTCATGATGAATGGACCATAAGAAATGGCCCAAAACGACTTGGTAAAATGTCTTGTTCCATTGACTTACATTAAAAGTGTTTTTTTTGGAGATTGGAGATACAAGGTTTTCTTCCGACAAAATATATATATATATATATATATATATATATATATATATATATATATATATATTCAGGCTTTAATGTATCACACTTTCTCTGTTAGAGGCATTAAATGCTTTGAATGTCGAGTTCCTATCACCACCATTATAAACAACAAGCATTTCATTTGCAATCCAATACCTCGTTCAGCTAATCAATACTTCATTAAGCTATAATTCATTAAGTTAAATCAGGTGGGCTGCTGGGGGAACTGACCTAATTCATGCGATGGCTGGAGCTGCACTGAGAAGAAGAGGAACTGAACCTGTGCTCTTCTAAAAAGCTCACAAGACATCAATATGTTTACAGTAAACAAGAAATTGTAGTTACTTTTTAACACTTTATTCATTCCAAAGTTATGTAGTGTTTTTACAAGCAAAAACACACGTGCTGTCAAATTTTCTGGGCTCTTCCAAGATTTTCACACAATACTGTGTATTAAATGCAGTGCTGTTTCATTCTGTAGAAGCCATGGAAGACATCACCAGTGACTTTTCTACTGATCAGTAGATTAGGGGTGGAAAATACTTAAGGATTGTAGCGGCCGGGGCTCTGTGTGTATTATGTTGGTTCAACCGCATACCCATTAGCTTTACCTTAGCCCTGTCTTGGTCTAAACCAGGGCTGGAGTCCAGCACACAAACCAAACCTGTTAATTAGCTAATGAGTTGAATCAGGTGCTCTAGAGCAGGAAAGTCACCAAACTGTGCAGGAATCTGGCCCTTCAGGACCAGAGTGCCTCACCCCTGACATAAACATTAGCCAGGTAACTTAAATTAGCCTTTCCTGTGTTATCAATCTGGATTATACTGCAGTATGTGTGATTTAGATGGGCAACTAATTGTTAATTTGTGGACACAGTATTTAAAAACTCCAGCAGCACTGCTGTGTCTGATCCACTTGTACCAGCGCAACACACACTAACACGCCACCACCACGTCAGGGTCACTGCAGTGCTGAGAATGATCCACCAACCAAACAATACCTGCTCTGTGGTGGCCCTGACCATTGAAGACCAGGGTAAATCATGAATCAGTCAATCAGTTTGCTTTCTATTGCATAGATTGTTACCATTAGTGGTCAAAGAGGGTCATGTGAACTCACCAGTTCGTAATTTCCGTGAAGAAGCCTCTAGACTTCAGGATGAAGAACTTGACTGGCACCCACACAAACAGGGTCACAGTGGTCACATACGCTATGGACACTGCCACCACCAGCCAGTAGGCTGTGGTGTCATTGGATCTCACGAACCGCATGAGGGAGGCAAAACGCTCCAGAACCACAAAGACGGGCACACACAGACAGGCGAACTGCAGCACCTCGTACACAACCAGCTTTACTGTCTTCATAGAGGGCATCTTGACTGCGTTTGTGTCGAATCCCCTACAAGTTAACTGTCCGTGTGATCCTCAGGTCAGGTGCAACCGCTCCCATCTCCCGCTCACACACTTGACTGCCGCTCTGGACTCTGGACACCAGCGCTGCTTACACTGCACTCAGAGTCTTACTCTTTTTTTACTGCCAAAGTGATGAAGCAGTCACGCTTCTTTTTATGGGGGTCACCAAGAGTCCGCTCTAAACTGAAATGTCTTGAAACACTGGACACAAGGCCAAACAGCTGTTTCTAAGACAAAGTTGAAACCAGTGGGCAAGGGAAATAGCAAAGTGAAAATTTGGTAACAAGCAAATATGAAAAATATACTGCAATGAAAAAATAAGTGCATTAAAAATAAACAGAAATGCTGTGAAATTAAAAGCAAAATACTTGCATCTGCTGCCATCTTGTGGACATTATGACAAAAAAAGGCAAAAGCACAAAAGCCAAATCAGAAACAAACTACTACTACTACTACTACTACTACTACTACTATTTTTTGTTTTTTTTTCTGCTTTGCTTTCAGTTTTAGTTACTTTCTAGATTTTTTTGGATTGTATTGGAAAAAAAAATGATATTTTTAGACATTTTAGTTACAGTTTAGTTTCAGCAGTCCAAGCCTGAGGAAAGTGCACTCCAGGATGCGTCCTGTACCAACCATTTAATGGACCAGTGAATGAGCCTAAGACCTCACGCACCACTTTACTATAAAACTGGGTCATACTGTCATTGCGGTGGCAGTCGGTGTCCCGCAACATTGAAAACTAGCTCAAAATAAACACAAACCACAGAAAGTTAAAATCCATGTATTTTTTGTTCTGTTCTTAAACAAACTAACAAAACGCCTGATAATTCGTCTTTTTAAAGTTATTTTAAGTCATGTTCAGCATGAAAATCAGCATTCCACACTACTGCACAGATTGTATTATCTATTGTATATGTGAAACAATAATTTTGATTTTCATTTAAATCATAAAAATGAATCAGAATGGTCTGTCCCGTGTTCAAATTATAGTAAGTATGTGAACATACATTTTTTCAAAGAAATGTTGTTACAGAAACATGAAATGTCACAAAAAAGCAAGTTTTTTTAACTACTTGTTTGTATATCTAAAATACTAACAGCTTCATGTGTCACAAAAGGATTGTCAGTGGTGTCGCTGATGAAACATTAATCTACATGCAATGTGCTTTTGAAAGTTGCTGTAGAGTATATTTTCAAAAAGCTGAGATTTGAGTAATTTGAGTAAACAGTGGTGTTACAGAAATATATAATATCATAAAAAACAAACAGCTTTTTAAATTATTATTTACACGTATATCTCAAAGAAAGAAAGTCTGAGATACAGTTAGTGAAACCTCGTTATATTTCTTAAATACCTGATAAAGGTGTATACTGACTGCTATATATATCGCAAAAGCATTGTGTCAGTGGTGTTACTCATGAGTCATTTAGTGACCTGAAAACTGAAATAAAGTGATGTGGCTGAGGAGTGTATTTTAGAAAAGCTCAGATTTGAGTAATTTGGTCAGTGGTGTTACAGAAACATTAAAATGTCATTAAAAAAAGTTCTTTTTTAAATCACTTCATATCTTCTAGGAATAAAGTCTAACTGAAGTCCAAAGTTAGTGAAATTTCCTATATTTCTAAAGAATTTGTCTAAAATACTGACAGCTTCACATATTGCAAAAACATGGTGTCAGTTGGTGTTACTGATAAATCATCAAAAATCAGTCAATAACAAATGGATTAAATTAATGCAGTATCTGTGTATTTCTACACACAATGTGACTGTGACTACATGTAGCAGACGCAGCTTTAATGTATATGAAGTTTGTCAAAATATTGCATTTTATATTCATTTCAAATAATTAGTATTGTAATTAACATGCATTATCTTCTATCTATGAGGTCATCGCTATACCGGTCACTGTCACTGAGGTTATGTGTTTGGCAAGATGGTAAACAGAAAAATTTAGTGCTGCTCCTAAAAATAATATGAAGTATGAAAATCACTGTAAAAATGTAACTTACAGCAGAAGTGAAAAAGGTAACATACAGTGGAAGCAGACTAAATTTTAGAAAAGCTTAGATTTTGGTCATTTTGTCAGTGGTGTTCAAATTTACTGATTTTCAATATAAAATACTTTTTCACATTTGTATTACATATCAGCATCCGTACCCCATTTGCCACCGCAATAGTAGACTTGTAGAACTGAATTAGTATTAATAATAAATAAATATATTCATTTTGTTACTATTTATTTTTACTTTATTTTGCTCATTTTCATTTACTATTAATAACCCCAAAACACAACACAATGTACACTGTACATTTGGCCTAGTTTTATTGTGAATACTAATAATTCAGATGATTAAAATAGTACATAAACAACTGGGTACATTTAACGGAACTGATACACTGAGAACCTTTAAACATAAAAACAGTCATTTCTCCCTGTAAGTAAAGTTTACATCAGGATCACGCCTCTGTGTGTAAAAAAAATACGGAGGATCACTTTAGAACTGGCTCATGGTCCCAGGATCAACGGCTTCTCAATCGATTCCCAAATGACACGCTCTATCTACACCACAGCTTCCCAGGCCTGGTCCTACAGTACCTCCTGCCTTGCACACTGTAGCACTTTCTCTGCTTTTCTCTTTGAGCTGGGCTGGTTTTCCAAAAAGCATCTTAGCACAAAGATAAATCTTAAATGACAGAGCGAGCATCATACTGAACACTCTCTCTACCAGTTAAAGCTCCAACATTGTTAAATTTGAAGATTCAGAGAAACGTGCAGAACATTCTGGACCGTTGGATGTGCTTCAGATGGATGTGATGACTGTGAGGGTGTTCAAAGAGTATTCAAAGAGAACTCAGTCAAAACTGGTGAATGTCTTCCAACAACATAAGTGATTTAGCTACTACTGTCATCATATATTCCTCATTATGATGTTGACAGACACCATATTTTAGCATGTTTTGTTTCCCCTCGACTCAAGAATGCCATTTCTTTCACTTTTAACAACAAATCAAAGTGCGGCTATAAAATGCTCTAAGATGCTTTGGGGAAACTGGGCTCTGTGTAGCTGGATCAAGTTTGTTGGGAGCAGGGAAAACATTACAGTGGCCAAGACCAAGACTGGGACGCTGTGATCTTTAGAGCAGAAGCTAGCTTTGTTCACAACAACAGTTCCAGATGAGCTCATAAGACGTTAACTTCGGTCTCAGCCTTCACCCAAGATGACAAAATTCAGTGAAATTTAGCATGTACAGTCTTTCTCACAACTCTGAAGGCATCGCAATTAAAATAAATTCAAAGAAAAACCAAATGCCATGTGGCCAGTTTTCAGGTGCGCTTGGAATGCATCTTAAAACTGTTGAGGCTGGTTTCCCAGACCCAGATCACGGCTAATACTAGACTAAAAATAATTTCCAATGGTGATTCACCATTTAGTCCCAAGACTAGGCTTAACCCATATCCAAGAAACTGGCCGTTAGTGCCTAAATGTTTACAGTTAAGTGCAGTTTAGCCACTTTAGTTCTTCTACAGTTGAAACGTTTTGAGAGTTAAGGTGAGCTGAAATTTAAGAGAGTGAGTCAAAAGGGTAAATCAAAAGTGCATAACATCATCGAGTAATATTTACTACCTGCCTTTTCCATGTGCCCTTTTAACAGAAGCAGCAGCTGCGCTAACAACATAGGTGAGTTCTCATAAATACACATCTACGTTTAGGCAGAATATCTTCCTTTTTTCTCGTTTTAAAGTACAGTGCATTTAAAACGACAATCAAAATAAATAAAAACACTACTAAATAAGATGGTATCGATTTAACACTGTCATAAAGAAATGCTTCAAGACACTGGGAAGATGGGCTGTACCACCCTGCCAGAACTGCGGGGAGAGGATCCATTGTATGGACTGCACCATTCTGTCAGGGACCATGGGGGTTCTGTGCTACACGGTCCAGGGGGAGAGGCAGAATGGTTACCATGCTGTCTGAGAAAAAGAACTCACATGAAGGCCATACGCACCCATACATGCAGACTCTCATACATACATGGTTAAGCTCGGCAATGATGAGAACAGGGAAATGAAACGCTCCCCCTACAGACCCCCGCAGCAACAAACGCCTGCGACTACTGAGACTTCCTTACCAGTAAGGGAAAAAGTATGTACAACATGTGCATGCTCTCTTCATGAGTGCTTTCCAGCTTTCTTCAAACAAGGTTCTAGTCTTTAGTGAGAATTAAGACGTCACCAGACGGGTCAAATAGCTTAGAGTAGCGGTCACTGGCCTTTCTCCTGTACATCTACTTTCTACAGTTTAGTTCCAACCCATATATACCATATATGCCCCTTATTAAGCAAGTGCTAGTCTCAGCCTCAGATACTCCACCCACACGTAATCTGAGCATCAGATGTGTATAGTAAGCTGAATATAACTGTCAGGATTTTGTCAATTCTGATTGGGACTTCTGTGCTTCAGGATTCAGGTGTCCAAAAGAAAACACATGAACGAAAGCAGCTGATACGAAATAACTGAGCCCTTTGGAGCAAGTTATTCAAGCGTTTTCTTTGAAGCATTTAACAGCTTTTAAGCAAGATATACTCAAGATTTTGCCATTTTTTTGCAGCTGGTTTGTTTTGAATGCAGCCCCGTTCTGAAACTCGATTTTATGTGACATGTACAGGCAAGCAACAGTCGTTTTTTCGGTTAGTTATTTTGCATGTCAGTCAAATGGCGTCTGTCATAGCGAGCAGTGGTCAGTAACATTAAGCAATGACAGCCAGATATCTGGTTTGCGAGACAAGCCTGTGATTTCACACAAAACAAGAATCTGTAAAGATCACTAGCTGGAACACGTGTCTCATTATGGATGGAACAAGACAGTACAGGTTGGTAGATGTTTAGAAGCAGGACCGGTGACCACTGGCTTAAAGGAACAGCATTTTTCAACACAATCTCTATCAGCTGCAACATAAGGTTGATTTTCATGGACAATAACTAACACATGTGACCAGGCTTACTAAAATACAGGACGCCCGCTGTCTGAAGCAATTGCCTATTGGCTCCTCTTTAGACATGGAATACTGGTAATGGGTATCGATAAGAGCAGAAAATGAGAGGAGATATCAGAGAGAAAAAAAATGGCTGAATCTGATCCAATCTGGCAACAAACCTACCCTGAAACGTTACATTGTTAGCTTAGTATTTCTTCCTGTAGCCGAGTAGTGTTTGATTAGTTTGAGGATGACAGACTACTTTTAGATGCTCATCACAAAGTACTTCAATTAAAAAATCTTGAGGTTTAAATATCAATATCAGAAACAAAACAGTGGTACTCAGACATCTCTACTTCATCCGTTTTGAGTGAAAAGTTTTGTGTTTCCTATGTATATGGAAATGTGCTGAAATTATTGTCTGCCATGATCAACCATGTGATACAGATGTGACAGATAAAGATTAGGTTGAGAAACCTTTAAGACTTTTCTGCTTCATTCGACAGAATATTATTCTGAGCGAGAGAAAGATTTTTTTTTTTTTTTCAAATTGCACAACATAAGTCAGTAGTCAAAACTTGGCATCTTTTCACAAATGGTCAGATTTAGTGTTTGTGTCTGGATGCGTTATTGAGAAAGAAAAGAGATTTTTTTTAAAGAAACGTATAGAATAACTGAACGTTGGTCAGTCTGTACCTGTGACCTTTAGTCATATTGTTTTAGTGTCAGCTTGCATGAACGGCCTCATAGTGTGTGAATGAGAGAGGAGATAGGAGAGCAGTCTCTATGGGTCCTATAACAGGGCTTTTTCCGGGTAAGGGGTCTGTTGGGTGTCTGTGGGGTTGGTTAGGCTCTGAGTGATGGGGGCACTGTAGCTGGGTGTTTGGGCCATGCCTGCCGGCCCGCTGGCTGCACTCTGGTAAGCCTGCACATCTGCAGGTGGCATGCCTGGAGCAGCGCTGTACACTGGAGGTTGGCCCATGTACATATGAACATCACTGGAAGAGACAAACATACACATTAAATGTTTAAATTACACAGACAACAATTACATTCTAATTACATTAAAATTGCTTGGATGATAATGACCAAACCTAGTTTTTTAAAGTGAATAATTCACATTATGTTCCTCAATACAGTATTAAAAACAAGCTTGAACTTTTAAAGACCCTCTACACTCAAAAATATGTTTTTAAAGAGTCAACTCCTCTTGTCTGGCTTATTATGGCTGTATAGACTGATATTTGTATCAAATGTGCTACTATAACACAGTTCACATTGTTCTATTGAAATGCTTTGTATGTAGAGCCAAAAAAATAACAAAAAAACAAAACACAGTACGTAGGGGCTTTTGTACATCACCAATGAGCTTACACCTATCACAATCCAATATATTAAAATATGCTAACAAGAGCCACGAGAGGCAGCACGAGGCCCACATTTAGCCATTCACTTACTACAGCACAAAACAGTTGGTGAGGAAAAGATGAGCTAAAAAGTTCCATAAGTTTGAGGGGAAACTCTAAATAAGAAGTGACTCAGCAAAAATAAGACCATAATTCAATTGGTACAATGTAAAAAAAATCTAATTCGAATTGTTGGATGTGAAATGTGCTGTTTTAGAGAAACATGCCAAGAATCAAACAGTTTAACGTCATAATAACAGACATAACAATTCCCCAGATTTATCACTATTTTACCATTATCACATACAAAAACTCACAAGACACGTATAGGCAAGTTTCTCTACAATGTACCATTTCATATCAAACCACTCCATGACTTCTACATCTTAAATTAATTATGCAAAAATGTTAAAGTTTCAATTCCTCATTTAGATTATCTGCTTGTTATAAGATTTTTACCCAGCCTTAATAAATACAAACTATTCACCCAGCCCTGACAGATACAGTTATTTATTTAATAACCGTTATAGCATCTCATTCCTGATGAGTGTTCAGTACCTGGGGGCTGGCTGGCCCGACATGGCAGCCGCCTGGTTCATGGCAGGAAGCTGCTCCACAGGTACGCTGTAGCCCTGCACACCTGCACCAGGCATTGCATACTGCCCTGCAGCCACCTGGCCAGGATACACCTGGTTACACAAACATACAAATAACACATCTATAACATGAAACGAACACACCAAGGACTGAGAGACGACTGTAACGAGTGTAATAACGTCGCATTCATTTGACCCTTTCAGAAAGTTCTGGACTTATAAGCTCATGTTGGTCTCAGGTGATGCTTCAACCACTGCACATTTCTCACCTGCTGGGAGGCGTTAGGCTGCTGCATGTAGTACTGCTGGCTCTGCAGCTTGGCATACATGGCGTACACGGGGTCTTCATTCATCAGCTTGGCATACAACGAGAGTGCCTCCATAACCTTCACGTTGAGCTCAGACAGCTCCGAGTGCTTTCTGAAAGCGTAAACACATCAATCAGTAAAAGAGGCAGGAGAACAGACACTGACACAGACACACATTTGTAAACATTTTTAAAAAGTTACACTACATTGTTCTCATACGTTATAATGGTTATTACAATCATTGTTTTTTTGCTTTTTTTAAACTATGTTTTGTGAGTATCTTAACCATCACGATTCTTACAGTCGTGTGCAGAAGTTCCAGGACCCCTGGTTGATTTTATAAGTACACATCCTCTACATTACTGTTTATTTGCTGAATATAACTACTGGAAAAACTATAAAACAAAGTATGATGTGTGCAAAAATATGGAACAATTTATGTTTAATTTTCTCCCAATATGTTAACAAATAAACAGCAATTGTGTGATTAATCTGTAGAAAAACACCCTATTTAAGCGTGTTCTCTGTAGACTTATTTTTACTTCAAAAGTTCAAACTTTTGCAAACGACTGTAAGAGTGTTGATGTATCAATGTTGAGATATATATATATATATATATATATATATATATATATATATATATATATATATAAGAAATAAACAGCTCCTTTTCTCCTCTATACCTGTCGATGTCTTCCAGCTTTTGATCGATGAGTGGGCCCATTTGGTTACAGGCACCTGAAGGGAACATTGAGAATAGAGGGAAAAAGGGGAAAAAAAAATACACATAGCATGAAAAGGAAAGTATATTTACGTTCAAAGCCCAAAGAACAGATCACTAGCCATGTTGTGTCTCACCTTCCAGCTGGAGCAGCTCACAGCTATCTGATTGGTTGTCTGTTGGATCTGCACTCTGGATCATCTGTAACAACTGGTCCATTTTTTCCTGTACATTACAGCGTAGCAAAATTACTCTCCCGTACAATCAGCCCATTAGTGCTATTAATGGCTGCAGGGCCATTTCACTGCAGTGAGTATAATGCAGCTGCTGACATATCATCCCATCTACAGGACATCACAATGCCACCATATAGCCACATTAACTACTGATAACAGATAAAACTGTTGATGTAGAAAATCTAGATGTAACATTACGCTTTTTCATTTTTTCTATGTGAATAGGAGACGTACACAAGAGGCTTTCCGATAACAAGAGACCACAGCCCTCACCTCATCTATGTAGACCGGTTCAGGCTCCGGTTCAATAGTCTCCACCTTGATGTCCTCACTGAACTGCACCGTCTTCTTCTCTGTTTTCACTGAGCGGAGAATAACACAAATACATTTGAGTGAGCTCTATGAGTGTATAATAAGGATGAGGTGGGCTATAATTGAAAGATGCTGTTGTGGATACTGTTGAGGTCCTCTCACAACTATCAAACTGCATAGAAGTCTAAAAAAAGTGCTTTATGAGGTAAATGTGCAAGAAAACAAATGCAAAAGCAAAAGTAGACAAGAGAAGTCACATTACTCACTCATCTCTGGCTCTGCTGTCAGGTCTGCCGTCACAAAGTTTGATGGAAAGAGCCCCACACCTTGATATGTCTCACCCTTCCACCAGTTAGGGTCACTGCAGAAAAAAAGCAATCATCATCAAATAATGAGCCAGACTACTTAGACCATCTTCAAGTATGTATAATAAGTTAACAAGTATACAACTGAATGTTCTCATGCACACACATACATACACACGCACACATGCACACATATATACAGACACACCAACAGAGTTCTGTGTTAACATGCCAAATTATCAAAAACCATTGTGCTGTTCATAGAATAATCTTTAGTTACTTGGTAATCATAGCTTACTGTTAACAAACTATATACTGTGTATTATTATTATTATTATTACTACTACTATTATTATCATCCTCCACAGGGACCTAACAAGCTCAGTACTGCTCCCTTGCAAAAGCCTCTCAAATAAATCTGATAAAATGCAACAGAACTGCGACCCTATCTGGACAAAGTGGTTAAAGATGATGATGTTGATGATGATGATTATGATGAAAATGTTACTGATGTGTAACTTTTATTCCTATTCCATTGTTTTCTTGTTCATTTTGTCACATTTTTATAAAAATCTTCACCTTCCTTAATTTCAAATAAACACCAACAACAGCATTTGGACAGCATCTTATTAATGGAAGAGTAGATGAACTGGCTACTTTTTCGCATCTGCCTTAAAAGCTTAATATTTATTCAACACTGATGTATTTCATCTTGCCTGCTTTGCCTATCCTGCCCAACACCACCCTTTATCTATGGATGGGCAACAAGACAATATATTATTTTAATCATGTTATATTGTCACAATATGGTTTTCTAAGCACTACACTATCCTAAAGTCAGGTAAACTTTCTACTCTAGTAATGTATATGAGGAGCAACCTGTCATCCAGAATGGTGATGATTTCTCCAGATTTGAAGTGAGTTCATTGTCCTCTGCTGCCTCGAAATCATAGATGGCCCGGACTTTTCGGCCCTCAGGTTTGTGGGAAGTGAGGAGGCTGTTAGCGCTGGGGTAGAGCCCGGAGAGAGAGGTTTGTGGCTGCAGCCGCTGCTCCTTCAGCGACAGCTCGATCGCTGCACACAAAAGGGAGAAGATGAAGAAAAAACCTACACACTTATATACACTTTGTAGTGGCTTCTAAAACTGAAATGACTAAGAGACACACCTTTGGCTAGGTCTTCTTCCTCCTTCTTGTTCGTTGATGTTGCTGGGTCTTTGGCCACTAATGCAGGGCTTGCTTTAGCTTGTTCTGCTGCCTGCAAAACAGCACAAAGGTCAGAAATCAGCTATGCAACATTCAGTGCATTAACACTGGGCACAAACATCCCCTGAATAATATAATTATTATAACACCTAATGATTATTGAAAAGACCATGTAAGGGTCGAGCCAATAGGTTTGAATACCATAGATATTTAAGAATGTGGGCTGCTGTTGATGGAAATGATATTAATTTTGTTACGCTGAGTGCTTAAAAAGGCATTAAAATCGATTAAATTGATTTTTACAACTATGCAGCAACCCTGGATTTCTTCATTTTCTTTTAAGCCAAACCGTCGGAGTGCAAAAACAGAAGTAGCCCTACATGCATGGAAGGGTAAATGCTAACACCACTAGCACTATGAGCAAAACTAAAACATCTCACTTATAAAGCAACAGTAAAATTCCATCAACAATAATATAAAACCTGAAGGAATCAGAACAGATGCTATTTCTTTGTTTATTTCAAGTATTTAGTCATTTGTACATATTCAGGGGTTATTTGTTCATCTGCTGTTTGTATTCAAGTCCCCTCATACCCCCTTGAGGCCCCTAGCACACAGAGGCCCATGGGCATTGGCCCCACTGGCCCAGTCAGCAATCCATCCTGAACACAGTGCTAAAATTAAGTTGCGGAATACACATATTACAAGCACAGTACAGTAAAAGCAAGTGCCATCAATAACAGCAACCTATATATTCTCAAATGTCTCCTAGTAATTCTGGATTCTTTTGGGAAAGAATATATGATACTAGTTCTTGAATAGAGGAGCAGAGCCGAGTACACACCTGTCTAAACAGACCAAACTAAAGAAAAAGTTTTATTAGTCTGTATCAAACAAGGTAGGTGTGAAAGCACCTTTATTTTAAGGATCATCTATCAGATAGAAAGTCACCTTTGTGCTAAGATGTTTTAGGGAACTTAGTCTAGATCAGTACAACATGTTGCTGACCTGTGAACCAACAGCAGGGAAGGTTACGCCTTGCTCTCTCAGGTTCTTGATCATAGCAGAGATGAGGCTGAGCTGGGGGTCGTTCCGGAAGTCCTCAGCCCATTCCACCATGAGGGCCTTCAGCTTCTCGCAGACCTTCGGGTGTCCCTGGACAAACAATCGCTGGACATTAGTCTCAGTCTTGGCTAAGAGGCAGATATAAATTAATTAGTACGCCCACATACCTTGTTTAAGACATTGCTGACTTCACTGGCAAACTCTCTGGAGCACACTTCCAAATGGAATATTTTCCCACAGTTTGACACACAAGCACCTAATAACTGGAGGACAGAACATATTTTCAGTGGATCAACATTCAGACTAATATTACCATTACCACTCAACACCTTGTCCGAACAGCAAATGAGCGTTCAAATCACGCTGTAAAAAGGACACTGGAAACATTATGTCTGTGTATCAAGCCAAAATATTAATTACAAACCTATCACCTAAAAGCTCTCTGGCTACACAATGAGCGAGTATCACGGCTATGTTACTTCTTTGCACAGTTAATACATTTGGAGATTTTTTTTTAATATATATTTTTGGGATATTTTTACCTACATATTTTATGGTTGTGTAACAATTTTAACTGAAATTTCACTTAAATCTATTGTATAAATTGCACTATAAAACAGATCACATCAGCAAATGGTTGACTAAGCAATTTCCCTCAGTGGGCTAACATCAATTAAGGACATGGCTAACTTGACTAGATAACACAGCTAGTTTCGTTGAGGCCCAAAGAAAAACATGCATCTCCAAAACAGTAACTTTACAGGAGCGACCAAAAACTACTTTTAATGCAAGTTAATGTAAAGAGATTCTATTCCAAGAAATTTGAGCATTTCTATTCCATTCATCATGAATTTTTGACACAACATGACAGACAGCTGCTGTGCTTAACAGATATAGGAAAATAAAAAAAATAAAAAGAATAAAATAAATTAAAAAAAGCTACTTTTTAACAGAAACAATATATCATTTCTAATATTAGTACCATCATACCATCACATCATTCCAAGCAAGTAATTATTTCTTATTGATGTGACATCAGCATGATGCATCAAAAATGAAAACAAGCTGTCCATTAAAAAAAAACAAAACAAAACAAAAAACAAAAAAAAGGGTGCTTGACATTACATCGCATTACTCTCTGACTCACACACCTTGTGTAGAGAGTCTCATTGATTATAATGGAAGTTTCATCATTTTACTGTTATTTGCTATGAAGGCAAGGCGATAAGACTAAACCATTCAGTCAGTAAAGAGATGCGTCTGAAATCAGTGGACATTAGCAAGACCCAAACCCACTCATTAAGCTTAAGAGACTTAAGGATCAATAGACTTACTGTCAGTGCCTGCATGGCTACATGGGGATCCTTATGGTTGACTCTCCTCATTATAGAGCGGAGGCATTCTTTAGGCCTACAAAATACAAGAAGAAACCAGACAAACCATCACCTTGTCTGATGGATCCACCTACAGTCTTTACTCACCAGACAACTTTCACAAACTGATAAAAATCACCAACAAAGTGGTTGATTCAACTAACCCAGTCCGTGACTGTCCAATCTTATCACATATGTCCAGGATAAGGCCCCAGTCTTCAGCTGTGTTCATCTCACTGGTCGCTTTCTCTGCAGAGCAACATTAAACCAAAACAAAGGACTAATGTCAGGAAATGTAAAAAATGTTATTCTGATAAAATATTATATGGTACATTACGACTGATTTAAGGAGGCACATATTAAAACACATTCAGTCTAATAAACACTTCTGTCAGTAGTGCAGTTTTCTTTGCACACAATTGGCTTTAGCAGTCTTATTTCTGCAAAGGTGTTTAGGATTTGCTTCCACTGACATTGTGCCAATTATTTATTTTGCAAACACTAAACATTATTATCATATGAACCACATTATGATCCACTAATGACCAATATGAACTAACCTCTAATGCACTTACATTTGCGCTAAAAATGCAAACACCATCAACTATTATCAGCTCAATCACATGGAGAGATTCCAGGAACTGGCCTGTCATGACTCAATTGGTCCAACATGATAACAGATGACATGTCTATTGGACCTTCACCATTACTGATATACTAAAGAACTTCGGTGTAAACAGCTTTGTAGGAACTAACGACTTTGTTCTCATGTTGAAAAGGTGTAGTGATAGCAGACACTTTAACAAGCAATTCCATAGACTTTTTTTTATTTCTGCACAATTCAATCACTGATGTGTAAGTAAATTTATTCAAGTGGTTTGATGTAAAATAAACCATTCTAAAGAAACTAACTGAATCAGATTCGTTAACAGTGGCAGTGACAGGAACCAGATCTCCATTAATGCAGCTAAAAGCATTATAAAAAACAAAAAAAAAAAAACCAGAAAGCTTGTTACAAATGTGTTGCCTGATGTCTGACACATTGTTTTATGATGGTTTTGAGATAGGATTTTGGCCTAAATCCATTTGCGGTGGAGAGGGACACACAAAGCATTCTAAGGTCTACTTTTTCAGATTTACCACCATTTTATTGTCAATGTTACATATAAAACTCAGAAGAAGTGGGTTCACTGACTGTTTTGGATAGTAAACAAAATGACTATGTTCGTGTTGTAAACATTATGATCCCTGCTTTCCTATCACCACCACTGTTAAGAAAAAATACACAAATGTGGTAGATTTTTTTTCCAGAGTTTTTTAAAATGTCTGCATAATTCAGTGACTGAAATATAAACAGAGTCATTCAGAGTGGTTTGATGTGAAATGATTCATTTGTAGAGCAACTAACACTGATTTCTCTACAGTGGTTGTGACAGGAACCAGGGGTCATGAAGTCTGCAACACAAATATAGACATTTTATTTATTATCCAAAACCACCAGTGAACCTTCTGAGCTTTATATGTAATGTAGATTCTGGTAAAACAGTGGTAAATGTGAAAATAAATGTTTTCTTTCTTTCTTATTTCTTATTTTACCTTAAAACACGCTTCATGTATCCCTCCACCATGAATAGATTCAAATAATTTGATTACAGTATGTTTTATGGCAAAACTTTGTCATAACACTACCGTTGAACAATGTCTCAGACATCAGGATGCATATTCACAAAAATTTCATGCAATATCTTTCTGTGAGGAGCCTACAGAGGTGGACGTCTGGTTCCTATCAACACCACTATGAACAAATCTGACTCCGCAAGTTTCTCGAAAAAGGACCATTTCACACCAAACCATTCTGAATGACTTTGTTTACATCTTAACCATTTAATTATACAGGAATTTTGACAATTCGGTGGAGTTCACCTTTACGTGTTACACGGAGTACAAAACTAGGAACTGTAGGGAAATAAGAAGCGCACCAACACAAAAGAGTTACAATCATGTCAGTACATGCTCTATTCCATACAGTTGTCTGGCTAAATGGCTAACTGTTGAAACACACTAAAGACTGCTAACAAACAGCTTGTATACCGTTATCTGGCTACCTGGTCATCTGAGATAAGCTGATAACACATAAATTATATGCATATTGCAAATTTCGTGACAGTCTTGCGCTGAAGGTCTCAAACAGTTCGTTATAGCGACTGCTGTGATAGTTACAGCTTTAAGGAGCCGGTCACTTTTGTTGGGAACAGAGCTAACGCTAACTGGCTAGCTCAGTTTCTGTCTAGTCCAGGTCAACATTTGCAGTGTCACTGTGGCTTCTCAGCCAAGTCCAAGCACTAAATTGTGTGCATGATAAGGAGAATATTCACCAACTATTCACTAGAGGGACAACAATTCTGTCCTGACTTAAAATGCTCTTTTGCCAATTAACCTACAGCACCCCATTTACAACACCGTGAACGATTAGCCAACGTTTACCGTGACAATAACAACCGCTGCTTAGCCTAGCCTAGCCTTGCCTTCTACTTTCACTACGTCGAGGCCGTGGAGTCCCAGATAAAGGGTTCATATCGTTGTTTTTATTTTATTTTTACAAACCGCCAAAACACAATATGTCAGACAAATCAACTCAGCAGCGATATAATGGACGGCCGCCAACATCACTCGTTAGCCAGCTAGGTAGGTTAGCATGCTAAAGCAATGTTTGCTAGCTCCGTTATTTTCATCCAACTTACCAACATCTTGATCAAAAGGATTGGACGTGAAAAGAGGCATTGCCGGGGATGTGAACAAGAACAGCAAGAAGATATGTATGAGCTCTGTCCTCTTGTCTTTTCCCTCTTTCTGTCAGCACTTAGTTAATAAATTAATATACATAATAAAGAAAAGTGCAGCCAAATCTAAACAGTGGAGTCCCTCCTTAGCAGCAAAAGACGGTGCATCAGCATCAGGGTAACGGAGCAGGGCTGTCACCAGAAACACACTAAGTTAGCTAACCTAGCTAGCTACGTTATTTGCAACATAGGACACGACAAGACGTTGAAACGATGTGTCCCTAAATCTGTAGTATATCTGGTAGCTACCTATTGTTTTTTTTTCCTACAACCAAGAGAGAAAAGACAGTAACGAGGACAAGGGAACGCGCTCTCCCAGCTATCACATGATTTAATCACATGACTCGCGTACAGGTTCACGGCTCCCTCAAAACGGTGTCGTCCCTCCCTTTTAAGGGCGGTGGGGGGAGCAGTCTTGCCCAGTCACTTTACTCCTACAGCCGAACGACGTTGACTCATCGCAGATAAAGAGAGTCACATATCCAGTCCGTCTTGTCGTCTGTGCCAGCTAAATTTTCTGAAGGTAGTGATGGGGAGTCGATTCTAAAAGAATCGATTCTTCGACTCCAACACGTCTGGGAGTCGGGGTCGACTCCTGGCCAATGACTCTAGAGTAGAAATTCTTGGAGTCGACTCTTCGACTCGGTGTTTTTTCATCGTAATTGGCTCGAGGGACATAAGGCAGAGTTTGAGCAGCGAGAGTTTGCTTAATTACCAGCTTTAAAGAAAGCTTTTCATTTTTTTCATGTCTATTTTTTTTACAGAACATCTGTAGCGGCTCTGGCGCTGTCTTGATTAAAGTTAAGTGGAGTCGATGAGCTGGCTCTACCGATTCCAGCAGCAGAAGTCGAGAGTCGGAGTCGACTCCAGAAAACTCAGAGTCGTGCATCACGATCCGAAGCAGGGATGAATCACTTCTGAGACGGGCCGCCGCAGTAATGCGATGGAGCCAATCAGATTCCACTCCGCTCGATTTCAGCCAATCACAGGTCTCCGCTTCTAGACTGCCTGCCACATGTAAACTTGTTGTCTACCGTCACAGCCATAGATGTAAGTTACAGCTCATTGCAGCTTCTCTCATGAAGTTTCTTGATATCAGAAATCAGTGTCAGTGGGAATTAAATGTTTGCGTACAAGATCTCTCCAGTACTAGTAACATTTTACATGTTCAAATTCGATTTCTAATATCAAAACTGAACTCATAGACAAAAGTGGCTTTCCATTGCCAAACCCTTATATGAACCTACCATTTTCTCTTATCTAACATCCTGTAAGTCTGACACAGTCAGTAGCCATTATATCAGATGTGGAACACTATTAGAACACTATTCTTGGCTCTTTCTTCTGTATGATCTGTTTTCTCTGTTTAATCTCTCTTATAAACTTGTACCACCTGTAATAATAATTCCTCTCTCCAGTGTTGATCAGAAGATGGATTCCTCTTTGAGTCATTGTTTCTGTCAGTGCTTCTTCCTCCTGTTCTTAGGGAGTTTTTCCTGACATTGTCACCCTCGGTTTGCTCATTAGCAGTGGATGGAAAATACTTAAGTTTTACTACTGTACTTAAGTCTTATGTTGGAAGACATGTACTTTACTCAAATATTATTGAAACCGAATACTTGCACTTCAATTTAATTTCCAAGCAAGAAAAAAACACATTCCTTACATTTAACAAATAGCAAAGGCCAGTAGGTTTTTATTTCCCATGCATTTAAATTTAGTGTTTAGTTAACAGATGAGTGTAATCAGTGATGTATCTAGGACTTCCAGAAGGCCTAGAACAGGGTTGCGGTTCTGGAGGGCTGGTGTCCAGCACAGTTTGGTGATTTACCTAAGTGTAAAGGTGCAGTGTGTAGGATTTAGGGGGATCTATTGGCAGAAGCAGAATATAAAATGCGACACCATGTTTTCATTTAAAGGTTTGAAGGTGCAGTGTGTAAGATTTAGTGGCATCTACTGGTGAAGTTACAGACTGCAACCAACTGAATACCCCTCCCCCCTTCCTCTCCAAGCGTGTAGTAGAACCTATGGTGGCTGTCAGGTTTTCTACCATCGCCTGTCCAGATTTTGCTTCTTCATGTTTTTGCTTCTTTGATGACAAGGATTCACCCTCTCTTGCTTATCTTGTGCTAAAACATAAGTATGATCCTCCAGTTTTCAAAATTTGGGTCTTCAAACTTCTCACAACACAAAATGGTTAGCCAGCACCGGCAGCAACCACTAATTCTTCTTCTTTCTCTGTCTTCCAACTGGTGCTATAGCACCACCAAATTCAAGCTGCTGCTTCAACATAAAAACGTGAAAGGCACTCTATAGAACGGGAGTTAGGTTTGTCTGTTCTGGGCTACTGCAGAAACATGGCAGCGCAACATGGCGGCCTCTGTTGGAAGACTGCTAACAAATCACCATAAATCTTACACACTGCACTTTTAAGCAGGTAAATGCTGGACACCAGCCCTTCAGGACATCATTGCAACCTTGCTCTAGAGATTCTGGAAGTCCTAGAAACATCACTGACTGTGAGTAGGAGTGGCAGCCTGAACAGTGGGCTGTTATGGAAATACTTGTCTGTCCAGTGTGGAAAATCACCACTCAGTAATGTCTTCTGGGTTTGTCAAATGCTAGAGGGCGCTCCCGAGTGAGTTCAAAATGAATGGATTAATATGGAGCATTTGAAATCATAGGTTATAAATGCTTAAACATTTAATTTAGAAGAATACATTCATTTCCTGAACACAAAACAGCACAAAACATTTTAACACTGCTGTTGTATTTTTGAGCGTTTGTAAACTCCAGTTATAGGACTTCATGACATCAGCAAGCGCCAACTGCTTCATTCAAACAAATGAACTGTCATTCAGTCATGTTTTTGATATAATGGGATAAATAGGAAGTGGCCAGGCACCCATTAAAAGGCTCTAGTAATATCACTAACAGCAGCACTACCAAGGATTTTGGGCCCCATAAATAGATATCACCACCACCCCTCCACCACAAACAATAACCTGAGGCTTCAAAATGAGTTAATGTTAGCATGCTAATCCCTCGATGTATCAAAAGCTGTAAAATGGGCACTCACTAACCTAAAATTGCAAATGCGATGCCATGTGTGTATCTTTATCAAAACATCTGAAGAAGCATTTCACCATGCAAAGAAACATTTAAGCATGAAATGGTTCTATATTGAAGTTATGGACAACTGCTTTATTATGAGCAGCTTGGCAAATGTTTACCTGCATCGTTTGAATGTCAGTTAAAAGAGGAGCGAAATGTAAACACAGAATTTTCTGTGAAGATATTAGCGTTAAGTAACCAATGTTAGCGGAGCAGAAGTAGCCTGTTTCACTATGGACTAAGCTAAGAGGTTCATTTCCACCACTCACAGACAAAACCCAACTGTAGTTGTGAAAAATTGGGTGGCACACTGTCGCACTTTTTTCTCTCTCCTGTCTTTCTTCTTTTTTTTTCATTTTTGGAAGCCAGATCTTTCTTTAGGAAGCTGAGACCTGATGCTCCACCGCTACTCCTCACTCGCAGTTCCCTGCTAGCCGGTACCGTTCGCGCCTGGTTTGGGGATGGACTGAACCACTTCAGGTAAATAAAAGGGGGAGCACTACAGAGGCTTCCTGGATGTTTACTTTTTGCCAAAATCAAGAAAACAAAAAGAAACCGTTAGTTTTCTGAATACATTTTAAACCAATTGTTCTATTAATAATAATAGGTAAATAATTAAATCAAAAATACCTAAATTTTAAGGGTCACTGTTAGTCACAGTCCTTTAGAATCGTCCTAACTTTCCCCCCATTATGGCGCCCCTGATCACTAACGTCACTACTGTGCAAATTAAGTCAAATCTAATCAAACTAATCAACGCCATCGCTGTGCACAACTCTGCGGCTGGTCTAAGTTACACAGTTCACTATCATCTACCGTCAGGAAACTAAAGTAACCACACCGGCTTTCATTGTGTTCGTAGGTAATGTCACATACTCTCTTCTGTACCGGACAACCAGAGCTACAACAGCAGCAGCTAGTAGTGTTAGCTACTTTTAAACAATGTTCAGGCTTTCACAGAAGACAAAGATGGATTTTGCACTCCATAAAACTGCATATGAGTCCGTAAACATTACATTTGCATTACTCTTAGGAGACGGTTTTAACTACAGGTGTTTAAAACGGTAGGTGAGTGTAACGTGAGGAGTCGTACAAAAGCGTTTCATTAGTGTACCGTTAGTGTTCGTGTCTCAACAGAACAAGCTCCGGTCTGCTGTGTTGGGCAGGGTGTCCACAGACTGTGATATTAAAGGCACTAACTCAGTCAGCAATGGGAACAATATAGAAATTAAGACCGCTCCGCGAAAAAGACACGTGTCGGAGACAGACGACTACCTGGCCTCTAAAGAGTCAAGGTGAAACTGCTACAAGGTAAATCGATTCTAATATGTCTGCCACAGGCTTTAAGTAATGTCTTTTAGAGCCTGTTTACACCATTAACGTGTGTTTCATGTCTGGATCATGTGGATAAATTTGGATTCCATTTACACTTTTTACTGAAATGCATCCCCACTGTGACCAGGTGGGATCCCATTTCACTCTTCCTGTATTAAACATGTCAACACACACAGTTTCTATTTTATTTACCCCGTTGTTTTCCCTGCTACGATATGAGCTTGGCTTGGCCGCTTTATTGGCCCAGAGTGAACGAAGACTGTTGTTCTCCATCCTCCATCCTGATGTATCCTCCATCTTTCGTTTTATTCCATATCCCTAGCTCACCCTGCTAGTCAGCACTCTGCAGGTGCATTTCCGCTTATTTAACTGTATACTCATTCCGTTTACACTTGTGTTAAATGTGATCAAGATCTGCCTCTGACTACCACCAAATGTGGTTGTGAGTGTAATCTGATCACAGTGCGTGTTGAATGTGTTTACACCTGGCTTTTCATGCACTCAAGTGAATTTCATGCCAGAATGTGATCCAATTACCCCAAAACATGTTCAGAAAATCCCCAAAAATTAAAAAAAAAATCGAATAACCTTTAACTTAGTGCCAACAAGCTACTAGAATCCCATATGGATGCTAGTAGAAATTAGCATTATCATTGGTATATTTTTTCCTGTCATGTTTTGATATTTACAGTTTGACTTTAATTGTCAAGATTCATCACTGGTCACCACACCATACACCATCAAACAGGGCAAACTTTTAATCTTATTTGGTAAAATATTTAATTTTTACTTTTATACAGTTAAGTATTTTCAAATATGACTACTTTTTTACTTTCATATATTTTGGAGCCATATTTCCTTTTATTTCAGTAAGATTTTGACTCAATACCCATATATTCATTTTAATGTATCTTTTCTGTATGTTTACCACACCTGCATATTAGTTGTAAAACCTATATGTGATAACGTATGTTGCATAGCTATACAAAGCACTATACAAATAAAATTACACTGAACTGAACCGAACCGAGGCGGCACGGTGGCGCAGTGGGTAGCGCTGTCGCCTCACAGCAAGAATGGCCTGGGTTCGATTCCCGGCCGGGCGACCAGGGTCATTTCTGTGTGGAGTTTGCATGTTCTCCCCGTGTCTGCGTGGGTTTCCTCCCACAGTCCAAAAACATGCAGTCAGGCCGATTGGACATGCTAAAATTGCCCCTAGGTGTGAGTGTGTGTATGAATGTGTATGTCTGTCTGTCTGCCCTGCGATGGACTGGCGACCTGTCCAGGGTGTATCCTGCCTTCCGCCCAATGACAGCTGGGATAGGCTCCAGCACCCCACCGCGACCCAGAAGGATAAGCGGTTTAGATGATGTATGTATGTATGAACCGAACCGACTTGAACAGGCTATGCAACGCTTCCTAGTTAGAAAAGCACACTGTGATTTGGTTTGGTTTTCATCCAGCTTTATTGCATGTCTCAAGAACTCAGAGAAGTATTCTTCCCCCTGAAGGTTTTGGATTGCATTGTTTACAAACAATGACAACAGAAATAGAGCAACGTGGCATGTAATCATGTTTCTCAGTGTATGTTCAAGTCAGGCTATTGTTGAATGTCAGTTTGATTACCTACATTTTTAAATGCATTCTACACTGTGGAGATTAACACTTGTATTACTGGAGGTTTGATGGTACTGATCAAAAAAAGATCGTGGGGCAAAATCTCTACATTCACATCTGAAGTGACAGCGATGTCTGTAATAAATTCACCATTCTTGATCAACATAATAAAGAACAGAAAATAGGCTGCAGGTTTTTCTGAGCACAAGGCACAATGTGATTCCATTGGGCCTATATAGGCTATTACATATTTTGACTTTCAACAAAATAACTTGTTTTTTAACATAAAAAATTACTGAAAATACCAACTATGTTTTATGTCAGGCTAGCATTTAGGACTACATGTATACTGTATGTTCGAAGGCACATCTATTTTATACATAGCTACTGCATATAATTGAAGTTTAGAGATTCATTCATCATAAATCAAACCACTGATATTCCAGAATAGAAAAATTTCACAAAAAAGTAACCTACTGACTTTGGTGTGAACAATAATCTGTATACAATCATTAAAATAACAGCTTCATACTCTTTGTAGCTTATGGTATTAGGTGAATGTAGGTCATTACAATTACAATTAAAGTAGTTGCAAAGCTCATTGTATTGCACTGGATTACTGTGGCATCGATTTTGTTTATGACATATAAAGTAAAAAGATTTTATAAAGGGTATTTACAACTGTGTGCTTATAATACATTACAGCCATTCCACTTTTAAAAACATATTGAGACATGACCTTGACTGTAAATCTCTGTGTGTGATTTTAAAACAGTTTGTGGCCTTGACAAATTGCCGATTATTGCTGATTTTGTAGTCGTCTTCGTTCCTGTCCATCAGGTATCCTTAAAAGTTTTTTGGCAAAGCCATGCACTCCTTGCTTTGTAAAGAAGTCACGTGACAGAGGCCACTTGAGTAGTCTCCCTGATTGTCATGTCCACTCTTCTCTTAGCTCAGCAATGGATGCTATAAAACTGGAACTATTCCTGTAAGGAACAGATGAAGTTAGTGAGCTTGTCTATAGGCAATGAACATAATGAGTTTGTTTATAGAGTAAACATACTCTAGAGTAAAGTTTCCTGTAGTATCATTGGTCATCAGTTAAATTACTACTTACTCTCATTTGCACGTTCACAAATGAATCCAATGCGATCTGTACAGAAGAAGTCGTTCCAGTTGGCCTCATGGATCAACCCTGCACAGTCCTCACCTTCTTCATGGCCATGGCTCCAGTTATCAGGCTGGCCTGGTTTCCACTTCCTAGTGTAACATATGAAAGTAGATGTATTAGATTCAGGGGTGGATTTAGTGGTTCTGGGTTTGTAGGCAAAAGTCAGGAATGAGGCCCCCTGGATGCATATTTTTAAGTTATTTTAAATTAGTTGAGGTTCTGGGCTCCTGCGTGGTTCAGCCATCTACACTGCAAAAAAATATGTCTTGGCAAGTGAAATCAGATTAGATTTAGTTGATATATCTGATATATACATATACAAGATATTATTTAACTTATTTCTAGAATTTCATGGCAGATAATTTAGCTTTTTCTAAGAAACAGTGTTTGAAACAAACAACACCACAATGTAGTGAGATAATTTGGTACAGTAAAGTAATAAGTAGTAATGAGTAGTGACAGTACTTTTTTCAGGAAGTAATAAGTAATATAATATTACATTCTGATAGAAGTAATAAGTTATTTGTAATGGGTTATTTTCATTTAATAACGCCAACATGGGAGCTATTTATACTAACGTTAACTCTAGCATTATGTACAGCCTGTGCAGCAAGTTCTTTGGTAGTGTAGTAACAAACATTTTCCTTTCCTCCCTCTTTTTGCGTTTCTCTGCTGTAGTTGGATTACTTTATTTGAATTTCCTTCCCAACATCCAGAAAGTCACACAAAAGAATCTGTTCTCCATAATGTAGATTATCACTTGTCTTCTTTATACAAGACAGTTATAAAACTGTCTTTTTGCAGTCGTGTCATTGCGTAAAACACAAAGAATAGTTATTTAAAAACCTGATCGTGTGGGCTGCATTGAAATGACTGAAAAGAATCACTTCAATCACAAATAACAGCTATATTTAAAATGTATATATTTAGGAATAGGTTATTAAACATCAACATGTACAGTATAACTAACTGGTATGTTTGTAATGGGGCCCTTGGCTTATGGAGGCTGTAGGTGGCTACCTACTTTTGCCTAAAACAGTTATGTTTAAATTTTATCAAAACAGTTATAAATGTATGCAGTTACATTTAAAATTACCTATATTTAAAAACATTTGCTGTCTTACTCTGTGATCAAAAATAAACTTGAGTTTGACAGCCTCTTTTCACTAATCATACTTATTTTGATGCATACATTTTATGTGTTTAGGTTTGAAAACTCAGGTTCATACAATGTAGAATTGTACTGAATTAGTTGTAACATATGCACTCATGCTGCTTTCAACTGAACTGTCCACCAACAGTAGGTGTTTTTATTTGTAGGTAGAATGTACAAGTTGCTTTTACATGAAATTATTGCTCAAAGAAATCTTGTTCAAAGATTATAAAAATTATTTAGCAAAAGCCAAAATGTTTTAGATTGTGCCCCACTCTCCCGTACTCACGTAAAAGTGGGAAGGCTCCCATCCACCCAACTCCAGACGTTTTCCTCAACAATGTCTGTAAGACCCAGCCAGAAATAACCCTTTCCTGCAATTTGCTTCTGTATCCAAAGCTGAAACAAAATGAACGCACAAACACAAATTCATAGAGACTTGAGCATATTCCAATACATACAAAGTTATCAGCAGTATGCAAGCAAAGTCAGTAACTGGTAAAGTACAAAATATTATCAGTAAAAAATATATATAAAATATTGTACTGGATTTACCTGCTCCTCCTCGTCATTGATAATGAGCATAGAAGAGGTCTTGTTTTTGCATGTTTCTTTTGTTTCATCAAAATTTAGTCTTTCTGATGGACGAGAGAAGTAATAGCAACTGTCTTTATAGCTCTTCCATTGAGGTGGACATCCTAGGGAGTTAATGAACAAGAAAAAAAAATTGCTTCATTTAAATGACAAATATAATACATTTCAGCCACTGAAAATTTTTGGCCGAAAAAAGAGATTAAGTAGGTCCAAAATGAAGTGTCAAAATCTAACACTTAACAAATGACTTGAGTGGTAATTATGAGAAATAAGCTTAAAACGCTGTTTGCGTACTTCACTCTCCTAGGCTGGTCAGCACAGATGTGTTCAAACAGTTAAAGCAGCGGCAGATCACCAATGAAACACAAACAAGGTCCAATGCATACATACATACATCATCTAAACCGCTTATCCTTCTGGGTCGCGGTGGGGTGCTGGAGCCTATCCCAGCTGTCATTGGGCGGAAGGCAGGATACACCCTGGACAGGTCGCCAGTCCATCGCAGGGCAGACAATGCAGCGGCGTTTTTATTCAACCTTCAACTAACAGCTTTTTTAGCATTAACTTATGTAATGCAATTCTTTACTAGATATCCCATGAATAAAACTGATTAATGCAATATCTGTTCGTAATACACTTTTTAACTCTTGTTTTTCTTTCTGAAAGTTTTTACTGCTAATGTGAGTTTGTAAGGACTCTAGAATTCAGCTATAGATGCCTTTGGAAATGCCTTTGAAATATTATATTGTAATTTCAGTATTCAGCAAGTTTTTGTATGTTAATTCAAGAGCGTAAATACATATAGAAGAACCCTTTTGGTTTTCGGTTTTGGTTTTCAGCTAAACGTGTCCTGAATTTTTGGTTTAAGTCAGGAACTTGCTTACATGCAACACTTTGTTACACTGATAGCTTGAAAGCTAGAACTCCATATAATACAATAAGAAAACACGTGCTTCTAAGGTTCTTTTAATTAGTGATTGAAGTGTGATTCACTTTTTGCAAATCAGTTTCTTTCACAGACTTCCAATTTCAATCATCAAATTCAGTGACTGATTCTCAAGCCAAGCTTGACTTTATCTCCACTACAAACCACAAATCCATAACAGAGAGAGGAAGCCAGCTACAGTGGAAGATGGTTTTTTTCTCAAAACTTTAAATTGTGAAAGATTATTTTTCGAATTGTTTGAGACGTCTTCAGTGTATAAAAAAATGTAAATATTGCATGCCACAAAAAGGTTCGAATCAGTTTGTCTTTCATTCATTTATTCATTCATTCATGAGTTGGACATCAACATACATGAGTCTTCAAGTGTTACCTGGTGTGCTGGTGGGAACAGGCTCTTGGACTTGGCGGGACACTGAGCTTTGGGGTCCTACAGGAGGCAGAGGTTTAGCCACTGGGATTGGAGGTCCAGTTGGTGGTCCAGGTAGTCCAGGTGGCCCTGGTGGACCAATGGGGCCAACAGGCCCTGGGGGTCCTGGTGGTCCTGGAGGTCCCGCTAACCCTCTGAGTCCGGGTGGGCCTTGTGGGCCCTGAGGACCTGGCTGACCATCTCTACCAGCAAGCCCAGGTAAACCAGGGTCACCCCTCTCCCCGGGAGGCCCAGCCCTACCACCAGATCCTCTGGAGCCCTTTGATCCAGGATTTCCTCTTGGTCCAGGTGGACCTTTGGAGCCAGGGACACCTGGAATTCCATGCAGCCCTTTGTCTCCTTTAGGTCCTGGCGGTCCTGGTGGACCTCTTTCCCCAGTTTCGCCTTTCTCACCTGTTTTTCCTGCAGGCCCCTGGGGTCCCCTATCCCCCCGAGGGCCTCTAGGACCTGGTGGACCTGTGAAAAGAATATCATGAATTGAGTGTGGTCGCTGTCTGAACTAAACCTTATATCTCCAAAATGGTAACTTTACAGAAGAAGGACAAAAACTTCTTAACTTTAAATGGCTGTTAATGGAGCAAGATTTTTTCCAAGTAATTTGGACCATCTATATTTGTCCATTAATCATTATGTTTTGACACCATGTAAAGATATAACTTTCAAATTATGTAAAAAGCCAAAAAAAAAATGGCGATGTTTAGTTCCAACAGTGGCAATATACATTTCAGAGTGGTTGAGACTGCATAAGGGTTACTAATTCAAACATTCAAGAAAAATTTAACTCCTTACCTTGTAGGATCGTAAAGTTGGTGATGAGTTGCGAGTGTTTGCTGTCCACCAGTTTCATCTCCTCCATCACGATGGAGAGGCTGCTCACTTCCTTATCGAGCCTGGTGGCGAGCTCCTCCTGCTGTGTTTTGAGCTCAGTGCTGTCAGTCCGGGCCTCCAGGACACTGCTGTTGAGGGCCAGCAGCAGATCCGTGTGCCTAGTGACTGTCTCGGCACAACCGCGGAGGCCGTTCAGGTCAGCGCTGATGGCTCCCAGGAGCTGCGTGGCAAAGCTCACATTGCCGGTGATGCGGTCCATATGGTCCTCGTTCTGGTCCAGACGGGCCTCCAGAGCATCAAACTTGCTAGAGGTGGCATTGTCATGGTCTCTTTGCTGGTCCATGAGCTCGCGCAGGCTCTGGTCATGTCCATCAGTAACAGTTGAGGTGTTCTGGACCTGTTCGGATAGTGAGCTGAGCTGAGAAGCTACGTCTTCAATGGCATCGCTATTGGAGCGGGCCAAGGCAGAGTTGTTGGCTGCCAGAGCCTGGAGGTTCTGCACCTTCTCCCTGAGCCAGTCGGCATCCGCCTTGGTCTGCCTGGCTGTCTGCTGCAGGCTCTGGTAGTCGTTCTTCAGCTTCTGGACTGCCTGGCTGGCATCCTCCACCGACCTCTGGAGGGAGCCGATGAGGTTCCTCTGCTGACTCTGGGTGAAGTTGAGGGTGTTGAGGCTGTGAATGGAGCGGCTCTGCTCTCTTATCTGCTCTTGCAGCTCTGACTGGAGCCGCTCCGTGTCCGTCTTCAGCCCACCGATCAGGTTACTGTACGCGTTCAAAGTACGGTTGACATTGCGGATGGTGTTGCTATTGCTCTCCAGAAGGTCCCTCAAGGAAATGTGGCCACTCTGCACATCCTCTCCCGCCAGCCGCAGTTCGTCCAGAGCTGCTCTGTTGGTGGATGCGGTTAGGGCTATGTTGTTAAGCTGGGTCTGCAACGTCTGGATTTCTGCCTTGAAAGACAGGATTTCAGTCGTGGCGTTCTCTGACTTCTCTTCTGTCTGATCATCTGCATGTGAATGTTTAGACAGCATTTAACCAAACATAAATAGCGCTAAATGCAAGTGCTGTGGTAATATGGTTGTAGTTTGTCAGTAGATGGAACTCACCAAGCTTCTTCAGGTCTGTTTCCACAGCCATGATTTTACCTCCATAGTTCTCCATCCCTTCAGTCACACTGTCCATCTTCTGGACCACTGAGGAACACAAACAACAGAAAACCACTGAGTTCTGGAGTGAGAACAAAATAAAACACATTTACGGTCGAGACACTTTGCCTTCTTTTTTCAGGCAGCACTAGGTCTGGGTATCGTTAGCAACATCATGATACAATATACATCATGATACAAACTTCACAATACAACACAACACAATATAATTACAAATAAATATGTTTTTAAAATATATGAATCATAAGTAATGCTGGGGGAGCTTTTAAGAACTATATTATATGTTTAGTTCACGCTGAGGTGCTGGTCAGGACACAGCGGGGCAGAGGTGTGAACTTTCTGCACATTTCATCACAAGGGCAGCAGCACAGACAGGCAGTAGTCAGTATTTGGGCACGTATGTGTATGAAAGGGAGTCTGTGACTGTAAAACAGTTAACAACAAAATGTTCACTAACACAGCCCACAAATGATATACAGCCCAACAACATCTGTTTTGTTTTAAACAAAGCAACATTAAGCGAACTAAGCCATGAATGTAGAAGTGAAACTAACTCAAATACACACCTAACAAGGACCTTACATGCCTTAAAGGAGAATAGTTTTTTAAATGTCTGCATAGATACTTTGTTAAAATGTAAATAAAGTCATTCAGAGTGGTTTGATGTGAAATGCTCCATTCTAGAGAGTCAGAACTGTTTACAGGAAACAGACATCTGAAAAGTATAATGCCTCTAAAAGCTAAGCTATTATGAAATGGTTAACAATATACTACCTGATATACATGATTTATGATAGTTTTGAGATAAGCTTTTAGCCTAAAATATAATAAATATATTTTTAAAACACATTTGTAGCTGAGAAGTTTATGCAGGATGCTGTAAGGCAAAACTGTCCCTGAAGAAGACTTTTTTTTCCAGAATTAACCCGTATTTTACCATTATCAACATGCCTTATAAAAGCTCAGAAGATGTGTAGGTTCATTGGTAGTTTTGGGCAGTACATGAAATGGCTATATTTGTGTTGTAGACATTGTGACCCCTGGTTCCCATCACCACCACTGTAAAGAAGTCTGAGACGGTAAGTTTCTCCACAATGAAGCATTTCACATCAAAATTTGCTGAATAACTTTGCTTACATTTATTTTATACAATTAATAATAAATAGTGAGCAAAACCTTGACTTTTAGAGTCAGGACTGTATGTAAAAAATATTGAGCATGTAGCACTGATGCTGTAAAAGTTGCAGTAAAAGTTGTTGTAGTGCAAATTACTTCTTATTTTTTATCACTGAGATTAAAACTATATAACACGTGGAAATTGTCATTTTAGCTGTGTAAAAAACTGAAGCACCAGGTCAAATGTTTGTTTTAATGCTCATTTTTTGAAATGTACAGATATTACTACTAATATAACAATATTTCTGGATCTTTGAATGCAAGTTCACCAGCAGTACCGCACGTATGGTTGGAATCATACATTTCAAAACGGGGAGGTAAATCATTTATTACGTAAAGGTAATTTAAGTTAATCAGCTTATTATTATTGCAAAACGGGCTGAAGATAATATGTAGGCGAAAGGTAAAGGCAGTCGTCACAGAAGGTGGTGCTTCAGCTCCCTAAATCCAGAGAAGTCTTTTGGGGCAACTAAACTTCTTTTGGGCATTTTGTACATCATTTGGATTTGTTCTCTAGTTTTCGTATTACCTGATGGACTACAACTACCATAAATACTAGAACCTTACCCTGTTTTTGCAGCTCGCAGGACTGCTTTTGAAGTGGGCAGTGGGGAAATATTAGAGACTGCACACACCACGAAGTTAGAACAGCTCAGGAATAATTGAGTACAAACTCCATGAGCACTTGGACTGGCAATTAAATGGATATTGAGCACACGCACATGAAGATCTACTGAATGCGACTGTGATGTTTATGTATTTGTTACAATATTGTCACATTGTACAGCCCTGGTTAGAGCACATGTATGCCATATGCTGAATGTTGTAAATGTCACTCTCAAAAGCCTGAATGCAGAATTCCTTTCACTCATGCAAGGAAAAGTAAACTTCATAAATACTGTGTACAAGCTTATCCATGATGTATTGCCATATGGATATTTCAAACACAGCCCTATATATCACTGTCACAAATATTTATACCCGTCTTATTGTTTTCCTCAAAAAGAGTCTGGCCCCCTAGTGGCCAATCAGCCACTGGAACGGAAATCGATACACATTTCCATCAAAATACATTGTATCAATGTTAATAAAGAAGAAAAAAATCAGTTCAACTAAGTAACCCCCCCAAAAAAGTGCATGTAATGGCTGCCATGAAAAGTGTTAGTAGGTTATTGCAAACAGCCAAAAAGAACATTATCATGCATTTTGAAAAGCTGAGTGCCCTCAAAACTACGGATGGATGGTGTATGTGTACAAGAAAGCTGGAGGAAAAGAAGCAGACAAACACAAACTTCTCCATGGCTGTGCAGACACTGTGGTGGATGCATTTGTCGCAGGCCACTGGCGATAGCATGCATAGACACACCGACAGCGAGAACGCATTCCACTCGCACAGTCACACAGGAAATGCATGACACTTAATTTCCTCTGGAATGTGGAGTGGTCGCTCAAGGGTCGTGCTCAGACCGTCTGGGTGTCTCCTGTGCCGCGCTGGTGATTCCCACCAGTCTCTCTGGCACCACTCCTGCTGTTTATGAACCATATTTTTTCTTTTTTTTCTGACTCACATCGATGCTCCCTATTAGATAAATATACCCTGTCAGTATTTACAGTATTTAGTGCAGAGGAGGGATAAAACATGAATTTCTCCTGTCAGCAGCATCATAGGTCACTGTAAGTTATTGTCCTGTCAAGAAGCAAAATAAACTGCTCTCATCTGCAGCAGTCTAAAGAGTACAAGGTCCAGCTTTTCTCCGACATCAAAATCTGAGACAAGATTGTTGATACTTGTTACATCTACATACGCTTACAGTGAAGTACACTGGAAACAGTGACACTGAAAATGTGAATTTTGAATTTACTTGATTGATGTGTACATCATTATGAATAAGAATATGAATAAGACATATTACATCAACACAGGTTAGTCCTTCAGTTTAGTTTGGACAGGAATTGTGTTGATGTAATATACTTTACACATGGGAATGATGTACAAACTTGAAGCAGGTAAATTCAGTGCAATTTCTTGGCATATTTAGGGCAGATGCTTCATGACATTCCTGAGTTTTGCTGACCAATTTTTTGTGGTATAGGCCAGAAAATGGATGCTACAAAACATCAAAAGAAATCTTGGAATGCCAGGCATGGCTAGTATCTGTAACCCCTGGTCAAATTACATGTTTTGTTGATTTTCTTAGTAAAAATCTGTTAATCCTCTAGAGAAAACACACTTCTGCATTTTAATGTGCTGTTTATTTGCTGAATTTAACATATTGGAAAAAAATAAATGTATCATGTGGCCTGTGCAAAAGTGATGGCACATGCTTATATAAAATGTTTTTTCCAGCAAATAGAAATTTTGCACTGAAATTTGCAGAAAAATGCCATATTTAAATTTGTTACCTGTATAAGATGTGTTAACGTATTTTCTTGTGGAAAATCAACAAAATGTTATTTGACTGGGGATGTTAAAACTTTTGGATACAACTGTAACATTATGATACTTTAATTTATAGATACACAATATGCATGAAACTATGAATGATTTTTTTAGCACTTCACTTCTGCATTGCACTGCATTGCACTAAAATCCACTCAAACGTGACTAATTTTGCTATCTTTGGGATGAAACATGCAGTTATTTAGTGTTCTTCATGGAGGTATCTGCAATATCAGAAAAGCATACTGTAATGGAATGTGAAGTAATTTATCACAATAACAATAAATATTGTCATATCATCCATCCCTATTAGATTGTACAGTCTGAGAAGCCACAGTAACTTAGTAAGAGCGAACAAAGATAAAAGTTAACAGTAAACTTGTGTTTGTATTTTTTTGCCATTGTCTTGATTCACATGTTTAAGTTTTACATGCATATTTCTATCACTGGTTTGTTTTCTGTCCATATATAGCTTCCAACACTAGAGGGTGCAACATTTGTGCATTTAGCTTGGTTCTTTCACTGTTTTCCATAATGGCATGTCTGTTTCAAAGGACAAAAATGGTTCTGTTTTCCTTTCTATCCACAGTTCCATCTACAAAGGCTCTTAGGTATGATTACAACGCTCATTTCCCAGTAGCTCCATCGGTGACATTCTCGCTGTAAGTAAAAATCTGAATGAAAAAGAGAGCAGAGCTCCTTTATTGACTCCTCCGATTATTTGCTCTTCCTCTTTTTTTTTCCTTCCGCTGATGTGTTATTCAGCAGGGCTTTGAGACCACTTCAGCATCGCAAAACAATCTGAAATCTGTCCAAGACCTCGAGTGTTATCATTCCAGACAGCACTTGTGTAACCAAACACAAAACAATAACATGCTTTGCGGAAAAACATAACATGGAGGTCCATTTCAAAGGCTTGTTGGTTGGCTTCACGCTGGGGGTCCGTCAGTGGGAGGCCCAAGCTGTCTCGCCCTCTGTCTCTCCAGACTGCCCCCCAGCAGCATGGGCATTAGCTCTTGTATAAGAATGCTATTTTTGAGCGAAGATTAGTGATTAGGCTCTCTGAACAGGATTTTGACTCAAGTTTGAGAGCTCCTCACATTCAGCCTGCTGACCTCAGGACATGCACATGACCAATAAGGTGACCAATGAGGTTGAAAACACTGACGTCATGCCGTTGACTTACGCATGGCCATAGTTGCTTTCAAGTATTAAGTATGCAGAACTCTGAAATATGACTGAGGACTGGGCTGTTTCTGTGTGCTCAGCAATTTAGGGGTGATGTGTGGAGTTATCATAACACATATAACTGAATTTAACTTTTTCATTAAACCACGTGGAGGCGTCAGAATGTACTGCTCTCGGTTCTTGTAAAAGGGGTCTGGACTGCAAATATTAATAATACCTCAAT